TGCTGATCTACTGGGATTTTCACGCACAACCATCTCTAGGGTTTACAGAGCATGGTCCGAAAAAGAAAAAACATCCAGTGAGCAGCAGTTCTGTGGGCGGAAATGCCTTGTTGATGCCAGAGGTCAGAGGAGAATGGCCAGACTGGTTCGAGCTGATAGAAGGGCACCAGTGACTCAAATAACCACCCGTTACAACCAAGGTGGGCAGAAGAGCATCTCTGAATGCACAGTACGTGGAACTTTGAGGCAGATGGGCTACAGCAGCAGAAGACCACACCGGGTGCCACTCCTTTCAGCTAAGAACAGGAAACTGAGGCTACAATTTGCACAAGCTCATCGAAATTGGACAATAGAAGATTGGAAAAACGTTGCCTGGTCTGATGAGTCTCGATTTCTGCTGCGACATTCGGATGGTAGGGTCAGAATTTGGCGTCTACAACATGAAAGCATGGATCCATCCTGCCTTGTATCAACGGTTCAGGCTGGTGGTGGTGGTGTCATGCTGTGGGGAATATTTTCTTGGCACTCTTTGGGCCCCTTGGTACCAATTGAGCATCGTTGCAACGCCACAGCCTACCTGAGTATTGTTGCTGACCATGTCCATCCCTTTATGACCACAATGTACCCAACTTCTGATGGCTACTTTCAGCAGGATAATGCGCCATGTCATAAAGCTGGAATCATCTCAGACTGGTTTCTTGAACATGACAATGAGTTCACTGTACTCAAATGGCCTCCACAGTCACCAGATCTCAATCCAATAGAGCATCTTTGGGATGTGGTGGAACGGGAGATTCGCATCATGGATGTGCAGCCGACAAATCTGCGGCAACTGTGTGATGCCATCATGTCAATATGGACCAAACCCCCTGAGGAATGCTTCCAGCACCTTGTTGAATCTATGCCACGAAGAATTGAGGCAGTTCTGAAGGCAAAAGGGGGTCCAACCCGTTACTAGCATGGGGTACCTAATAAAGTGGCCGGTGAGTGTAAGTTTCTCATAGTCGTATCGTTCTGTGATGATTTGTTTCTGAATTATTCACCTAAAGGCCTTGAAAGAGCAAAGGATAAGCTAGAAAGCGTTATCACAGAGACATAAGGAGAATGAGTTGAGAAAATAATTTGAGGAATATTTCAGATGTGGGACAAACAAAAAGAGATCTTATAATAGTATGCCCCTAATCTTCATTATTTCTGTTTTTTGAGGGTGAATTAAAGAGCTTAACATGTGATGAATATTGAGACTTTCTTCTAGTAACCTTTACTTGAGGGTAAACAGATAGGAAATAGGGGAACACATGTCAGAGGTTGACACACTGGGATTTGAATCTGCAACAGCTGCATTGAGAACTAACTGCAAGAGTCTAACTACAAAACTCCATTCAAAGTTCACACATTTTAACCTTTGCACCAATACTTAAGTAAATATTTCTACTCTATACTTCTACTCCATATATATTTTTGCAATACATTTAAAAAATAGACTCATTTTCATTATCATGTGTTGGTTTAAAAAAAAACAAATAAGAAGAAACCAAAATAATTTGTCTGTCTGTCTGTATATATATATATATTTCTTTGTAGTTGGACACAGTGCTGCACCAACTTGTTGTTTGCCACAGACCAAAATAAATATTTTTTTCAAGATGGTGTAATGGTAAATTTGACACTGTTGCCAGTAGTTATGAAACAAACTTAAGTGAAAGGAAGCTATTCTCCAGAATCACATGTTCCTTTAATAGTGTAGTGTAGTAACTAGTACAGTATAAGGTTTAAAACTTCTGTCCTTAACATTTTATCTTGATTAACTTTTACTTTTAGCAGTTAGCAGTTTTGAAAATGGTACTTTTACACTTTTGAGTAAAACATTTAAGTTGATGCTTTAACTTCTACAAAAGTATTTCTAAATAGTAGGATTTATACCTTTGCTTGAGTACTAAATTTGAATACTTTTGGCGCTTCTGAGTAAGACTGTGCGTCCAATGAAAAACTAAGGAAATCGAAATGGAGACACATTTGAAATCGGCACAATTTCTTTCACCTAGTAAGGTCAGGAAAAGAGACGGATGTGAGAGAATTTTGAGAACTATGATCAGGGTGAAACCTATTTTTCACAAAACCATGAAAAAACCACCTTTGCTCTCAATTGGTTCTCGTTTATATCTAGGAGAGGTAAATGAGACATAATAGAGATCTCATCTTCAGTTTTGCTCTGCTATGCAGCTTACTAAATTCGTGCTCTTTTACTTTAGAATAAAACGCATTAGTTTAAAATAAATATTTCACTAAACTGAAAATAAATGTAATGGTCTGGAATCATATGCTTTGATGTATTTTTTCATAAAATTCCAGTTTTCTATTTAAAAAATTCTGTTTCTCTGTCATACAGTAGTGTCCTTTAGCCAAATACCAAGCAAAAACAGATTTTGCATTTAATATCAGCTTAAATTGTCCTTCCATTGAGCTGGTACAAGACCCATTTATATGGGCATAAAATGTACAGTATTTACCTTCTAAAAGTGTGGCCTAAATGTGGGACCTCTGTGACCTAAAGTGACATAGTTGTCAAGATTTTTAGGCTGTAAGGTAGACACCATGCATACCATGGTGGTTTTAGCAGGCTTTAATCTTCCACTATTAGCTGAATCTATCAGCTCGCAGAGTTTAAAGAAATGGGCCACAGTAGGGGCCGTTGACTTTGCCCCATCATGTCTATGCTGAAATGTGATGAAAACGGCATGAAAGCATGATGCTGATATATGGGGTCTGGTGAGCAACATCTTAGAGACACAAAATCTTTTGATGCCAAAACAGCCCAGATCCATTAGACCCATAAATATTGACTGTGCAATTTTATGCCAAGATGTCAACAGCAGCACTTTTGAGGACTATAAATGGAAACAGAATTTGAACAAAGATTCATTGAATTGGACACAGAAAAATACATTAAATTAGAGCAAAGATAGGAGTTTGTCAATCCAGTCAATTTCGCAGATGCTCTACTGGATCAAGATCATGTAACCAAAAAGCCAAGTGAGCTTATTAAGTCTTTTGTTATGCATCTCAAAATACACATGAACTATTTTTGCTTTGCTGCATGATGCTATATCATCCTGAAATAGGTTTCACTCATCAGTAAATGTAACAACGCATAAGCAGTTAATATGTATGAAAGTCATTCACACAGATGGTTAGACCAAAGGTTTCACAGCCAAGAATTGTTTAAAGCATTTTAATGATTACATTTTTTTTTACTTACCTGACTAATGTCTATTCAGCAAAGGCTGGGTTGGCGTTGGTCCTATGGCTAATCTGCAGCTATGCAGCCGTGAATCCAACACCTGGTAATGCACTGTATATTTGCCCGCTACTATCAGAACCTGCATTAATCATTCTTTGCAGTTTGGCTAAAGAGTTGATTTCTTTGACCAAACCACATAATGTAGCAGCCATTCAAAATGCTCCTTCCCAGTCAAATGTCAGCCGAATGGCAGCCCACTTCCCTGCAACTCCCAGTAAAATCCCCTCCAACTTCCAGGCACTGGAGTAACCCCCTCCTTCTCCTAGGTTTGCATATTATTTTACTCTGACTCCACCTTTCCACTGAATTACAGGGTCTGGCCAGGAGATGATGCTTCTCTTTAGATCTTAATGTCCACAAATCATGAAAGAAAGAATATTTTAGTACAAAGATTGATGTTTAAAAAGAAATTGTAGGGGAGCAGCCAAGGACCAGACAAGGGCCCATCAAGGAAAGTGGGGAAATTTTGAATGGCTACTACTGTAAAACAACCTTTGCTCCCCATTTGCAACAAATGACCTTTGATACCCATTTTCCTTAGACCACTTATGATTTGGAACTTGGAACAGTACATTCTTCATAAAGGGTCATGGCACAGGAATTATTGATCAACTTTGTGATATAACAAAGAGCTAAACTATCCAGTAGTTTCGATAGTTAACAAAAATCTTCTCACGTTAGGACAAGTGCTCTCCACCTTAATTTTGAAAAAAAAAAAATCATCTTTGTTGAGTATTATTGAAAAAGTTTGTAGTTTATTTTATCTTCCTTTCTTTCACATTCAAAAAATATCATGCATTGACTCTTTATTAACTTATCAACTATCATTTGACATATTCAATTTGGATTCTCATGATAGGTTCATGATGATGAAGTACTGGACTTACGGGATGATGGCATCCAGAACCAAGAGCCAGTAGAATTTGGAGACGACTCTGCTGAGAACTTGATAGATTCTGAGATGTCTCCAAAGGAATCGGAGTACTCAGACATTGACTTCTCTGCAATAAAGGGAAAGATTCCTATGGATGAAAAAGAGGAGGAGAACACCAGAGAGACAGAGTATGCTGAGATTAAGAGAGTAGAAATGGAGGAGCCACAGGATAACAACGAAATAGATTGTGAAATTTGGGAAGGAAATAATGAGGAGGTAGAGATAGAGCATCAGGAGGAGGTTAAACAGGACATGCTGGCTGAACAGGTGATTGAAGATGAACCACCAGCCAGTATATACGAGAACTGAACTCAGCTAACCAGAAAGTATTTCTTTCAGTTGTTTATTGAATATAGATTTCCTTGAGTTTGTGTGAAAAAAACACTTGGAACTAGGAAAGAAAAACCCAAGCTAGAAAAATTAAGAAAAAGCAAAAAGCTCCTGCAGAGTGAAATAAATAACAGGACGTTATAACAATTAAGCATTTAGATAAAGACAATTAGGTAAGTGCAAACTGGCAAAGGCAAACTGGAAAAAAAGATTTTAGTACCTTGACTGTTTGCATTTCAACTATCCCAGCAGTCCACTTATTATCTCCCGTTTCAAAAGCTATTTAAGGTAAATGAAACAGACTTTATTTGGGGGGGGGGGCTTTTGTGTACAGTGTGCAAATATACAGTATCCATCAAAGCCAAAGCATTGTGTGAGGAATAATATCAAGCTTCTTTTTTTGCAAAGATACACATCTTTAAGTAGTATTTTCATTAAAATAATGTTTTTTGCAAGTTTTTTTCTGTTTGTCATGGTTAAAAAGTAGAGTTTTTATTTTGTACTAGGTGTTTTTAATGCATGTATAATTTTGCTTTTATAAATTCTGGTTTGTACTTTTCTTTGAAATATAGGTTTTCTTTTCCTTGATCAAAAACTTCCCCTTTTTTGCATGTGAGATATGCAAGTTTGCTATGTTAATGGAATCTATTGCTCAAGACGCTTGTTTAAATGTTGAGTGTTTTTAAGAGAAACACACTTTGTCTCCTCCTCCCTGCTTATGATCAACAGTCAATGCTTGAATGTGTGTAAATTCACAGAATATTCATTGTTTTTTGGTTTCTTTGTGCACTTAAAAGAAAATGTTAACCTTTAGAATGCTGTGGGGAGAGGAAATGGACAAATACAGTAATGCCCTCAGGGGAAGTACAGAAATATCCATCGCAATGACTTTGCTGAGAACAGTATTTGCAGTATCACACCATATGAAACCAAAAAGTTACATCCTGAAGATGTAAGCTGGGTTTTCCTTCCATGCACTCAATAAATGCCATGATTCCCTTACAGTCTTGTTGTGTTTTAATCTATTATTAAATGCACATCAATAAAGGAAATGACACAAGACTTTAGATCACTGGTTTCTCAAGATGACCAATTTCCTCTTGTTTCTTTATACACGTGTGGATGTGTGAGAAACTCCCCTTAATGTCCTTTTTCTACAATCAACAAATGAAAAAAAAAAATGCTATTTTACTTGTGTGAAACATTTAAGGTAAAAATATAATAATAATGATTATAAAGATACTAAAGACACCTCTCAAATTTGGAGTAGGTATCATATAATGCTTGAGTGGTTGGTGAAAATGACACTAACATTTTGCAACAAGTGTGCAAACCAAAAAAAGGAAGAGGAAGGGGAAGTCAAGAAAGAGTCACACATTTAAAAAATCACCAGAGATAGAGATGCAGAGGAAAAAGACATACAGGTGAAAACTTTTTTTTTTTAATGTATTTATACATCCATTAGGAACTGAATGCTAGATTATGTCATAGTTTGACGGTACTACCAGGGATTCTTTTTGGACTTAGAATTATTCTTACCGTATATAAAATAAGACTGAAGTTTGACTAATGTAGTCAAATTTCTGAACTTGTAAATTAATTACATAGACATCCTTTAATGAACACCTGTACTGAAAGCTTTGGAGTTGTTCCTGACATATATGTACCTGACCTGTATGTTCAGTAAAAGTTCTTCGTCCAGAGAATGAAGGATTGAGTCAAGATGTTTTCTTTCATCTGTCTAACTCTGATCTTCAAATGGATAAACATCAGTTCCAGCTTAGGTATGACATGTACTTTAATTGAAATATCTTTTGATCAAACAAACAAACTGTCTTGAATTTCAATATCATTTTAAATTCTTTATTCTCTCTTTTGCCGTAACCATACATTTTTTTATCCAAAGCTATCAATGTTACGAATGTAAAAACATACGTGCTATACTTCTCTTTGCTCATGCAAATAGGCCATATTAAAAAAAATGTTTCCTCATTTACTTTTTCACACGTATGAACTTAAGTGACATCAAATTATTAATGAATAAGGCTTAATATTATTTCAGAATGTTGGTATACTGTAGGTTGTCTGTGTTTTTTATTATTATTATCATTATTATTAGTTTAAACTATTTTGGCAATGGAAGTAATTGGAACAGCGGATTTCGATGTTCTTGGATATGTGAAGAAGACTTTTGTTTAATTATTTTACATGCCCTTTTTGCCCCATTGCGAATCTATTGTGTTTGATCAATTATGATCTTTTTTAAGCCTCTCGATCAGTGTGTATTAATTTTTTTAAGTGGTTTGCTTTTCTAAATTTTTCATTGATATTATTTTTGCAATTCTTTACTCAACATTTTGGTGCTGGCCATTACTCAAGCAGAATCGAATTACAAAACCCTAAAGCTACTTTTAATACCGGTAGTTGCCAAATAATAGCATTACATGTTGTTGGTTAAGACTCTATACAGCTCTGTTCAAAATGTCTCAATTGGCTGCAGAGTTTTCCACCAAAAACATAATGTTAACTCTGTATTGACGGTGCTGGGAGTCCTCTGAATTATTTTTAGTGCTTTGCATTTTGAAATGTAGACCAGGTCTAAATTTAAAAAAAAGTAAGTGAGGACAAACAGGAAGTATTCTGACTTTAGACTAAGCAGGAAATTTAAAACAGCTTTAAAACTTAAGCATGAAAGAGGATTCCTTTCTTTTAACCATATTTCCCTTTCAAATTGAGTGTTCTGTGTTTAAGCCTCTTTAGATGCGAGTCCAAATCCCACATCGATGATCCCTCCAGTGACAGAAGGACAAGTAACTAATCTGACTCCTACTCCAGACATCTGCCCTGATGGGGAATCCTCTAACTTAAACTGTAATTTAACTGGATCGAACAATACCTTTAACACAGCGAGTAACAAGACAGTAAATGATACTGATATTCTCAACAAAACATGTGAGTAAAACACCTTTTTATGATATCTTTTTAATTCTTTTAAAGCGCTGCATAAAACTTTTTTGAAGAATCTGTTCTGAAAACTTGTCTTGAAAGCTTAAGTCATTAACAGCTTAACAACGATTAAATGTTATTTTATTAGACTTAACCACTTTATTTATGATTGATTATTATTTAAAGAATTGTTAGATATTGAATCTGTGCAGCAGAACTTTAGTTCAATAAGTTTATCTGGTGAGATGGTTTGGCACATAAGGAAACATCTCTAATATATCCACAAAAATATTACCACTTATTTACCATCATAAACTTTCTTTGTACAGTAGAGCACTTTGAAACAGCTAGCAACTGAAAACAAAGTGCTGGACATAAATAGTAAAAAAAAATGATAAAACACAATAAAATAATAAAATGCAGTGTAAAGATAAGAAATACGGAATAAAAAAAATAAGAATTTGCTTAAGCTAAATAAACGAGATAAAAAAAAAAACTAAGTCCTGCCAGTTTTAAAGGCAGCGAATAAACAAAATCCTTGAGTTGAGTTTTAAAATTTGGCAGCGAAGGAGCCTCCCTAATTTGCAACGGTTATTCCATAAAAGAGGACCAGCAACAGAGAAGGTTGACTCCCCTCTGAGCTTCCTCTTAAACTCAGTATCTGCAGGTGCTCGTTTGGTTTATTTCATGCAATTACACTACCTGCCAGTAGGAGGAGACAAACGTTTCATTTTAGCCTAATGAAAGAACTGACTTTACAGGAAGAAATGGATATACTATTATTTTTTTTTTTTTTAGCTTATTAAAAGTTTTTAGATTGTAAAAACATATTTTGACCCTTCATAGATATGTGTGTGTATTTCAGTTTTTAGGCTAAAGCAGAGCATAAAAAAAAAAATTATTAAATATTGTTCTTAAAGGTTTGAAGACACTGGAGATGACTGGAGAGACAGTTGTTGATGAGGGTGAAACTCTCAATCTGACCTGCACAGTGAAACCTGCATCTAAAATCACATGGTCCAAACTTGGCTTAAACAAAAGCCTGAAAAATGACAGTGGATTGGACTATGGAACATCCACCCTCATCATAGATGATGTGACAACAGAGGATTCTGGACAGTATATCTGTGCAACACATCAAAACAATTTAACAAAAGAGATTAATGTTACCGTGATACGTAAGTATACCGAAGAAACATTTCTTAATTTACTTTTATTTTTATCCATATTGTTTTACCTTATTTCATTTTATTTGTCTATCAATTCATAATCACAAGTATTATTTTTATATGATGCCATATTGAAGGTTAAATATGTTTTTTTATTCAATCTTTTCAATGATTTTCCTTGGTTCTTGTCTCAGATAAGAAGAAACTTGAAATTACTGGAGAGAAGACTATTGAGGAGGGTGACACACTTAGACTTATCTGTAAGGGTTTTCCTCAATCTCTCCTCATTTGGACTAAATTTGACTCCAATACAAGCCTGATCAATGGCACCGGAACAGCAACCCTCATCATTCATAATGTGACAAGCAAGAACTCTGGTCTGTACATGTGCACTGCACAACACCAGAACACAACTCTGACAGAAAATGTGGACATAAAAGTAAAATGTGAGTTAATACGATAATACTTGATAAAATACTGATTTTATGTTCGAACAAGCGCTTTACAGAGTTTTCTGACATGTATTTCAAAGGGATAAAAACACCAACGATCACTGGTGAATCCACCATTAGACAAAACGGGAGCCTGAATCTGACCTGCACTGTTGATGCTTTTCCTTCTTCTATCATCACATGGACTAAACCTGGCTTAAACGTCACCCTGAAGAGTGAACCTGGACTTGAAACATTGACTCTGCTGATCCATAACGTGACAGAGGAACATTCTGGGCAGTATTATTGTTCTGCAGTGTACCCTAAGAAGAAATTGGTGCAAAACATTAACATTACTGTGATATGTAAGTAGGCAGCTAACCCACAACAAATTTAGAAGCATCACAACCCATAAGAGAGCTTACATTTTAAAGGTCTAATCCATGTATTGTGAGAAAAGAAAATCTATAATTGCCAAGTTCAGTTTCAACTCAAGTCACATTTTAGCAGCAGAAATGGTGTGCTTGATTAAGGGAAGATCATCCTCTCTCTTTATTTAATTAAATTTATTTATTTATTTGACAGGTACAGTGTACATTAAAAAGCATTCCTGCATATGCACCAGAATTAGCCAAAAGGCTATTTTTCATCTGTTGTCCCTGGACAGATCATAAAATTGTGTACATAAAAAAACACAACAGTAAGCATTCTACAATGAAAAATACAAATATAAAAAGAAATAAAAACAGCTATAGCTCCTTAAAACTGATTTTAAAAATACAGAATAACTGTGTTCATGTTAGCTTTAACAAAATAATAACGGCCACAGTAATGGCTCTTGAACTAGATTCTACGTATCTTGTTTCTGAGAGTTTTTTTTAAAATTTAGTTAATAATATACAGCAGTGATTTCCGACCAGGGGTACTGGTACTCCTAGTGGTCAGCGTGTGCATTGCAAGGGGTACATGAAAATATTAAATTTTTGTGGTAATAAAATAAAATGGGGCTGGTTCTACTTTGTAAGGACCCAACTAAAAAATAAAAAAAAGCATTTTTCAAACAAAAAGAAAGCTTTTCTTACATGTTTGAATTCACCTTCAGCTTTTAAATACATCAAAACCAAGCAGAGGAAGAGACTGGAAGTAGGGAACAGCCTGGGATCAGCTGTTTTGCCACACCTGATCAAAGCAAGCTCAGGTGTCATGAATGATGAAAACAAAGTAAAATTTATGGAGTCAGTCTGAATACAATTTTTGTTCTGTATTTTGTACCCAATTTCTCAACTTTAAATGCAGAAGTTAAAAAGATTAAATAAAATAGTTTTCTATTTTATAATCAGTTATTGTACGTTCAACTTTTGGACAATCAATACTTTTGACAGAGAGGGGTTCTGATTGTAAGATAAAAGGGGTACATAAGTCCAAAAAGGTTGGGAAAATTGATATATAGTATGCAATATCAGAAAGCTTCATCTGACTTTTTCAAAATAAAAGCCTTTCTTTCAATAACAATAATAAAAAAAAGATACAAAATCATGATTCTGTCCTATTCACAGAAGTACGCCCCTCAAATCTTGTTGAGTTCATACAGTACATTAGGGTACGATTTGCTTCCTAAAAGGTTATAGCGAAGGAATGCTTCGATTTAAAACATGGATAAACAAGAGCTAACTATGTCCTTACAAATGGTTTTCAAATTTTCAACATTTAGTAGTGCAACTACTTTTTTCATAAGAACACATTTCTTTACACAAAGAATTTAATATTATGTCTTTTCTTAATAATCTACAGAATTTTATAGCATTTTTTTGTTGTTGTTGTTCTGAAGAGTGATGTTCAGGCCAAAGGATAAACCACAACAGGATTGGAATCGTTAACCCTCAGAAATGCACCGTTAAAGTCAGACAAGAAAGTATATTCTGATGGAACAAATTAAAGATTTATAACTTGAATTGAACTCTTAGAAAATAAATCTTAAAAAAATGCCCTGCTAAAAAAAAAAATGTGTTTTACATATTCTATATAATAATGGTTAGATTATTACCTATAATTTGATCATTTGAATTGCCATAAAATTTGCCTTAGAGATAGGAAGGGGACACTAAATTTGACCTGCAATGGGGACATCTTTCCTTCATCTATAATAATTTTGACTAAAAATAGCATGAAAAAAGCCCTAATTATATGTAAATGTTTAATAATTTGTTCATCAGATCAAAAGAGACCTAAAATCACTGGAGAGAGCACAGTTACAGAGGGCCATGATCTGAACCTGACCTGCAGCGTCGATAGTTGGCCATTGTCGTTCATCACTTGGACCAAACATGGGTTGAGAACAGCTTTAGAAAATGGCACAGGCGCAGCCAGACTCATCATGTCTAACGTAACAGTTGAAAGTAGTGGACTCTATATCTGCTCAGCAAAGCATCAGAATGTCACTGTCACAGAAGAAGTTTACATCAAGGTGAATGGTAAGCACATGACTTTTCTTCAATGCAGTATGTATTTAATTTTTCTTAAAGGTTAGTCTCTTGAAATATAACAATATTTATTTACCTGATCTATATTTTTGTCTTGAGTTTGGGTGTCACCAAGAAGAGGTTTTGTACTATTCTCACAGTTGTATGGTTTCCTCTTTAAAGTCACAGACAAAAAAGTTAAACATTTTTTTAAAAGCTTGTTTTAATGTAAATAAAACACAAAGATAAGGATAAAAAAACAATATTTGTATATGGGAAAATATTGCAGAAGGTTATATGTGTATTGTATATAAAGTTTAATTTACTTTTGATAAATGTACTTTATTTTAAATGTATATAAAATAGGTGTGTAACTTTCCTAGTCGAGTAGTTTTGGGACATTATGCAGGATGGATGTTTTTAATAGGATTCTGTCTCCATGCAGTGCTGCCTAAGATCCTAGAGAAGTCTGAATGTAACGCTTATTCGGATGCCCTGACCTGCTGGTGCATCAGTGAAGGATTTCCTTCACCCACGATCACATGGGAGCCATTTGGGAACTATACTCACTACTCTGTCACAACCACTGTGTCAAACTACACAGTCAACAGCACCATCTTCATAAAAGTGATAAATCCCATGAGTGTTTCTGCTATTTGTGTGAGTAGGAATAAAAATGGGGAAACAAAAAGGAATCTTACTACAAGTGAAGTGGAAGAGGAAGGTAACTTTTGAAAATGTAAAACTCTTTCATTTAACATATTTTTGGTTGTAGCTCTAACTTTTTTTTTTTTGCAGGATATTTCACAAATTTGCTGAGGACTGTTACACAAATGGGAAAAATTATTCCCTTTTTGATTGGTTTGCTACTTTCAGCAATTGTTTGCTGCTTGTTGCTGCTTTGCTGCAGGTATACCTTTCATTACCATACATATCCAAATGTAAGAATCTATCACTGCGTGGTATTAAATAGCTGTATTCCTCCTCTAAGACGAAGATTATTTTGTATAGGTATAGTTATGAAAAAATATCTCTTGGGACATAACAATTCTGAAGAGAGGGAAATAAATATCCCTTCATCTAACTTTAGATTTGTTTATACATTCCATTGCATTTGTACGGGAAAAAAAAGTATGTTGGTATTTTTGTTTATAGGAAAAAAAAGAAATCCCATGGAGATATATCAGAGACCCTGGAGATGATAACTCAAGAGGTAAGTCATGTTCAAGACTGAGGAACTCTGTCACTGTGAGATTAGTGACACCTGGTGGTTATTTTCATAATGTGTGGAACAGAAATGCAAGAAAAGTCAAAGGATATTTCATGTTTTACATCACAGGCAAATGGTGACAACACAGGAGATTACGAGCCGATCCACGTCCAAGGGACTGCTGGAAGATCTGAAAGCCCAGAAGTTGTAACATCAGAGATTGAATATTCTGATGTTAATTTGTTGTTAGGAAAACAACAAAATTCTGAGGAAAATGCAGATGAAAAACCAAATAAATCAGAAACGGAGTATGCTAAGATTAGGCAAAAAGGAGCAGGGATGAAGGGGGATGGAGAAGGGCAGGAAGAGGAGGAAGAAACACTCTGTGCAACAGAAGCTGTGGAAAATGAGGCTGTTCCAGTCTATTCTAATGTGAAAAAGCTAAAGGATCAAATATGACTGCAGCAGCCTGAGGAAAGACATGCTGATAGAAGGATTGTGATTCTTCTTAAAGTCAAATATATCTTGCATTGGCTACAAATGCATTCTAGAAGCAGCAAAGAGAAAAGCAGAGAGATTTCTCTCTATGAACTGGTTTAAGGGAGAAAGTGATTGTGTTGAAAGATGGGAAATTAAAGTAGCTTCTGGTAAAGCAAGCAGGTGTCAGATGTGCTTTGCATAGATGGTTCCTCTTAATGAGCAGAGTGAAACTTGGCTGAGTAAATCAAAAGGTTTTTGAACAGCGGTGCATATCCCTATAACATTGTTCCTCTTTACTGAACTTTAAAAAAAAAAATCTTGGGGTTTTTCTCAGTATTTTAAGGTTCAGTTAAAAAAAAAGAAAAGATTGTTGATTTTCTTTGTTTGATCGCTGCAAAAAGAAAAATTTAGCAACAGAAACAGAAGCTTCTTATTTATTTTGCTTTTATAGCTGCATTGAACCTGCAGTGCAGTGCAGGTTTTTAGTGAGATTTTGTTCTTTCTTTCTTTGTTCTTTCAGTTATTTTGATTGTGAGGTAAGGGGAAAAATTAGAATCAGCTATGTGTAAACAACTGTGCAATAAAATAAACCTGATACTTTTACCAATGTATTAGGTCATTGTCTACTGTAAGCAAAAACATAATGATTCAACAGGCCCTTCATTTAGCAAATAAATGCCTATATCCTGCAGATTTGTGCTCACCAATCTGAATTTGTCATATAAAAACTGTTGTATGAAAACTCCAGGGAAAAATGTCTTTTTTGCACAATCATCAGTTTGTTTATGTCTTAACATTGCTTTGCTAAAGTGCTATAAAAACTTGACTCTTTTGAAGCTGTAATAAACATTCATTTACCATATACTGTATGTAGTGTTTATGCAAAATAAGGAAGTAAATCATTTTAAAGTGTAATGAACATTTATCAACTATTTTATTAAAATCTTTTGCATGGAAATGTGTTTTGCTTCTACTTACTTAACCAGAAAATTCAGAGCAACTCTGAGCAATTTTAAACAAAAGCCTGCATATTTTGAAATCAAAGTATATAATGTGTAATTTGAACGCAGTATAATAACAGTTTTTTTCTGAGTTTTGGTAGAAAACATTAAACAGCATCATGAATACCAAGAAAAGACACCAGATGGGACAGGATATGGCTGCGGAGAAATTTAAAGCACTGTTAAGTTTGCAAAATGATTTCCTAAGATTTGAGCATTTCAGGAAAGATTGTTCAACAATCAGTTAACAACTGAAAGAGTGTCAAATGGGAAACCTACCAACATAGCAAGCAGGAGCTTATCGTGGAAACAATGAAGGTGCTCAGGACCTGAGGAAGCAGACAGTGACTTGGAGCACAATGAGTCAGAACTGGAAGACATGGTGATGAAGTCCTAAAGATGTCCCAAAAGGAAAGGAGCATGGAGCAAAGACTACATAAAAAAACAATGTTTTTCACCAATAAAAAGTAATGAAAAAGACACAAAAAGTATATTCTGATAGCATTATGAACTGTATTCTGATTGTATTTTGAATAGTTTGTATGTGTGGGTTGCAAAGTTGAGGGTATTGTCCATCTATTTCAAAAAAAACAAACAATTATAAGGCAAAAAATGGGAAAATATGTCTGTCTCTAGATGTATACAGCTGATAAAGAGCTTCTGCAACAGACCTCAAGTTGGAATTTCGGTGAAAGGTGGTCTTAAAAGCAAATCAAAGATCTGAATATGTCTGCCTGGCAAAAACGTCTGTTTGTAAAACACTGATTGAAAATATTTGTAATCTCTCACCACCACAATTAGCACCTTCTGTTGTGCTAATATGTAAAATAACAACAAAATAGTTCCTGACTTTTAGGTGTCAAATTGCAAAAGAAAAGTTAAAGTGATCTCATTTTAGTTAGAGGTGTGGTTAATATATGCTTACACACTGTATAAATGTATGGGATTTACCAGATACAGGATTAAAGAGCTGAGCCAGTGGGATTAGAAAGTTCCACTAGCTGGATGAATGCTTTAAATAGATTAGTCAGGTGCTGCAGGTGCTGCTGTATCACAGAAGAATCAGCACTAGTTGCAAAATATTACGTCCTTCCCCATCAGACAGTCAGGTAGGTTATTGAAATGTTGCTAGGCTAAATATGTGGTATTGTAATGTTCAACCTGTTATAATACATGCAATTATCCTGGAGGTCTTAGGTGGCTTTTACTGTTTCTAGAAGTGAATGCAACACGTTGGTGATCGAGTAAGGTTCAAACCTGCAAATGGGTTTAGGGAGCGTTGCAAAATCTTTTAAATCAACTTCATACATGTATATAAATCAGTGAATATGATAGAGATTATGGGAAACCTTTGGTTTATCTATCAATCACATCTTACTGAAAATTAAAATGTGTGCTGAATACTTTGGCTATGAGCTCCTTCTTCATGAAGACTCCATATCATAATACAGATCATTTATTGTATATGGTATATTATGTTTTTGGCATAATACTTATCTAGCTTTTGGTGGTTGTTGCTGAAAAAGGGAAGTCACGTGTAAAGACGTTGAAAGAACTTGTCTTAGATATTTAAGATCATCAAAAATGTTTAATATCAGACAAAGATAACATGTATAATAAATAACTAAATTTCAGTTTAATATACTGTAGCTGGTAACTTAGAAAAAAAAACTACCCAAACCAATCTGGTTTAGATATATATATATATATATATATATATATATAATAACATTGTCAAGGCTGTTAATGTATGTCTGTGAATTAAAGTATGTCTGAAATCGCATGCAAGCCCCAATAAAGGAGCATTGGACAATATTACTAGAGAAAAACTCTGAGGGATTCGATGTGTAAGCTATGCCAATTCAGATAGAAAGTGATTTATGAAAATGCGAAGTTGATTGCCTTAAAAAAGTGAAGCCAACGGCTGCCATACTGGTACATATTGGTACGCCCCACTCTCACTGAGTCACGCAGTAAAAATGCCAACTTGTGTAGCATTTGGCTGCAAAAACAAGCAGTTTTCTGGCTGTGGGAAGTCATTTCACAAGTAATTTCACAGTCAGTGGATGTACTAACCAAGAAATCCACATATACACCGATGTATTCTATAGTAAAGTATGTAGTATAACATTATTCTTGCTATCTCGGTCCAACTCGAAGATATTGACTGAGTTAGCCATTGACATTGTGTCTAACGTTAGAAAATAGAAAGTAGAGTAAATAGAAAGTAATTCACTGTGAAATGTCAATGTAGTAATTCTTTATGAAGTGGATGACGCTGTCCTTCCTGTAGTGTTTGTTGCATATCTCATTTGAAAAATTCACGTGCTGAAATATATTGCATGTTATAATGGCGGAAAAAAAAATTATATATATATAGCATGCATTATCAGACATGTAAGATGTAATTACCGTAACAATGTAAATCATCAATTTAGAACTTTTGTTTTGTTTTGTTTGTTTGTTATAAATTAAACTGTGTCTCAAAGTGCTGAATTTATCTTTATTTTAAAGTGTTGAAAATGTTCAATGCATATATTGTTTACATTGAGACTGGTCTAACTAGGGAGTACCAATATGGCGGCTGGTGGCTTCACTTCAACCCCGTACTACCAACGGGCAATCAGCATTCCAGTGAACAAATAGAGATAAGTGGTTTGGTCAGGGAGCCATTACCCAATCACTTCTCTAAGCTAATCAAAGGGAAACTCACATACTTTTTTGACAGCAGGGAAGTCACTTAATGTAGTTTCACAGGCCTGAATGCGGACCATAGATGTGATGGAAGAAGGTCACAGACAGAATACAGATTAAGAGAATAGTTCACCTTAACATATCTAAAAAAATAAAAATAAAAAAAAACTCAAAGAAAGTCATTTTTATTAGCTATAGAAAAAAAAATAAGGAATTTGGGGGACCAGCTGGACAAACAATGGAGATGATCATGTCAAACAGGGTTTTTGAATTTTCCTGTTGAAAAATATAATATCAGGTTCTATCATTAACAGTAACAGCCTTTAATGAGGGGCTAAATTCTTTAACATTAAGTAATCCCTTTGTTTTATCAAACATTGAGTAAAACAAAGTTAGGTCAAATTTATTCATAGTGGCACATAAAAAAAACAAAAAACTGATAGCAAAGTCCTGAACACTTAAAGGTGAGAGATAAAGATACATTGAATAAATTTAAACAGAAAGAATCAGAAAAGAATTAAACACACATAAAATAAAACCCAATAAAATACATTTCAGACTGGGTCAAACTTTAGGGTAAACAGATGTGTTTTTAAAAGAGGAAGTGAAGAAGCCTGTCTAATGTTAGAAGGGAAATTATTCTAGCATTTAGGAGCCAGAAACAAAGCTGACAGCCAAATGAAAGTCATTCACAAATATATTCGAAATGAAAACAGAGACTTTCATGCTTGTTTAAAAAGCAACTTGAAGGTGTAGCCCTCACAGTTTGGGAGTGCAATATGATTTGTAATTTGACATTTTATCACGGATCCCCATTACCTGTTGCCATGGCAAACAGCTAGACTTCCTGGGGTCCATAATAAAAAAAATACAGTACAAAGCACAGTCACAAAAACATAACATTTTTAAAGCTTATGTCATTTCTCAACATATAGTTTAGAAATGATCAGATAATGCACAAAAGAACAAGTAAAATAAAACAGCCAATAAAACAGAAGATAAATTAAATCATCCAATAAAACATAAGAACTTCAGGGCATCAGTTGGAGTCTCAGCGCAATGACCTATATATGAAAGATATTTTTAAAGCATTGGGTTTTGGACCTGGTAAAACAAGCTGGCCATTACTGGAAGCTCTAGTGTTGTGAACAAAATTAGAAAAAACAATTTGTGAATGTATAAATGCTGTAACATTACCTCTCATGACTTAAACAGCACAAGTGTATTTAAAGCAGCTTATTCTCAACTGTACAGTAAGCTAGGAAAGGCGACCATGCATCTGGTTGACATGCGTTCTAATGGAGCAGCTGAGTTCCAACCATGCTGCCTTTTTTTGAGCAACCTGGAGCTTTTTGAGTTCACCCATGGCAGCAGATTTCCAAACTGGAGAGCAATAGTCAAGATGACATCAGACTGGACTCTGAAGTATTTGCCATTTAAGTGAAGCATTTCCTTGAAGCACTAATTGCTCTTCCCATTTTCAAAATAATATAAGTAATGTGGTGAGATCAAGACAAAGAACAGTCAACCATCACACCAGAGACTTTAAATTGTTGAACCATCAAGTCACAAAAATGTAAATATAACACTTGAGTATTCTATCACAGCTTAAGTAGTCTTCTAAAATGCATCCCCTAGGCAATATTATGGGATGATTTGCTGAATAGCATTTTTCTCAAACTTGGATTTTTTGTTCTCAATGAAAAAAAGTTTGTCCAATTGACGTCTACTACAGTGATTTGTCTCATTTCATGCTATCCACGCATCTCTACCAGTAAAGCAATATTGTGGGAGGTCACAAAGAAACGTTTGTCTCCTGATGTTATCATTGAACAATTTAGGATACTTCCTTAATATAATCTGGCTTTCTGATCATGTTATATCCATCCTCATTTTCCAACAGAAATGGCTGATCTACTCAAAGGCATAAACCTCATTGAGACTCTTAAAGAGTCGATGGAGAGCAACAAGTTTTCTGATGTAAAGGACGCCGTTGAAGATCTTCTTATCAGTAGGATCAACCTTGCTGTCCTTGGGGAGCGTGGAGATGAAAAATTCTCCCTTATTAACTCCCTTCATGGCCTTGGACCTGAGGATGAAGGTTCAGCCCCTTCTCAATCTCCTGTCACCCCAGAGGAAGTAGGTGGTTACCCAAATCCCAAACACCCAGACTTCCGTCTTTGGGATCTGCCACCTGTCCCAATCACATCCCCATTTGAACCAGAGGGATACATAAGTAGATATAAGTTCCTTCGTTATAATGCTGTCTTTATGACGTTTACACACATCATACAACCAAACTGCGTGGAGGTTTTTTTGGAGGCTCTTTCACTGCAGCAGAAAACAGTGTATTTTGTTCTCTTAGGTTCCATAAAAGACACAGATAAGAGTTTGGAAGAAAAGAGGAAAGCAAGTCTGGAGGTACTGAAATCACAGGGTGTGAAACAGCCTAAAATCTACCTGGTTAGACCTTTGAATCTTGAGAAGTTAGACTTTCCTGGCCTCTTGGCAGACGTTACCAAAGACCTTCCTGAGATCCGGGCTCACGCCCTTCTTCTGGCATTACCCACACTCACCCCAACACTGGTTACTCTGAAAAAGGAGGCATTTAAAGCACTCATATGGGCAGCTGCCTCCCTATCCGGTGGGATGTCAGCCATTCCTGTTCCCCTTGTGGCATCTATGGTGGACTCGAGCATTGCAGTGCGGATTTTGACAAAAGCTCAGTTATCTCTGTGCGTTGATGATGAATCGATCGAGCGAACGGCTCGACGGCGGCACCTGGAACCAACAAGGCTTAAAGAACTGCGAACTTGTGCATTGTCAGTTGAGGTCACTAAAGGGGAAGTTAAAAGAAGACTTGCTGCAGCTGAGAAGGACTTGGCTACCGTTTCATCAAAGTTAGTGGAAATGGCGCTGCCTAGACATGCGCGTTTGGCCAGCCGCTCCTTCACTGCCATGCTGCAAGCTTTAAATGGTGCTATTGATGAAATGGCTGCTGATGCTGAGAAAATAGTGGCAGCTGCAGTGGAGGGGGGGAAATAAAGCAACCGTATTTAACCATGTGAGCTGTTTTCTGTGTAGTGAAACACCACTTTTATAATATAAGATGTTCATTTACTGTTGAGAAATTAAAGATTGAGCAGAGGAAATACTATTCTATTGCTGCTGTTGGTGTTAGATGTTGGTTAACCAAATAATCCAAATATAAAATGTATCAAAATAAATTTACCAATAAATTATGAGCAACAAAGTGAAATATCATGGTGTGTAATTCTTGAGCATGTCTTCTGAAATGTATTTGGTACTGAGTAAAATAAGTATTGCTTTTATAATGACAGCATTACAACATCTTCTATAAGACAAAATTAAATACATACTTTAAATTTCCCTGGTATTAATCGGACTTATTCTTCAGTCTTTTAATCTGGCTTGTTTTTATTCCTCTGCCTTTAATTCCAGATTATTATCATCAACAATGTCATGGCAGTTTTCTCACCTCACCCTCTCCTTAATTGAAACAAGCGATGAAACACACACTCAAACACAGCCTTAATTGTCTCACTGTCAGATGTCTGTTTTTGTTTTGGTGCCTTTGGATTGATCTACTCCTCCCAGCATTCCTTTGCTCAAAAAGAAAACATTAAACAAGCTTAACCACGCTTTTCTTTCTGCACTGGAGTCCTGGACAGTGAGTATGGATAGAGGCCGTTACAATTTAAATGTATACCTAATTGTTTTCATTGAAAAAAATATTTCATAGGTCTATTTAAGCTTCCATAGGAAGCATGGCTTTTAGATAATTGTTCATATTTATTTTTAGTAAATTAGGGAGGAAAAGCTGATTATTGCTGGTTTAAAATGTAATTGTGTTCTTTCTAACACAGCGATGTTCTTAGGAAAATTCTGAAGTTTAGAAATATGTCCATCAGCAAAACATCAGTTGCAAACCTTAATAATGAGAAACATTGTTATACAACATCAGGATTAAGGTAACCAGAATTACTTGGCGCTGAAAAGTTATATTGCCACCTACAGTCAATACATTTGGACAGTTTTCAAAAAGCATTCCTTTTATAAATGACCATCTGGCTGGATGGAAGTCGCACAACCGTGTGACTCTGCCTCATGACCTACTGGATGGAGGTCATAAAAGTTTATGACCCTTCTGATTGAATCACAGGATAGAAATGTAGCATCTTCTTTCTTTCAATGTTTCATATGTCCACACAATAATTTTATAATTATCACTCTAACATTTCCCCTATGTGACCACTTCTACTATAACTTTGTTGCTTTAAACACCACAATTTCCCCATTGTGGGAGAATAAATAGATTTTCTATTCTATTCCATTCTATTTTACTCTGTGTCTCTACATTTTAACAACTAACAATGCATTAACTATTTAGGTTGCTTCCAACAATATACTTTCCTTATTAACAGATCCAATGGCAAAGAAAAAACATTTTCTTATTAATTCAATCAATCAATGCTGAATATTGCTAAAATGTAGAATATTATATATATATATATATATATATATATATATATATATATATATATATATGTGTGTTTATATGTTTTGTAAGATTCTTATATGTTTGTAGGTTTCTAAAAGCTTTTAGGCATGACTTCCTTCACAAACTCTGATTAACAGATCTTTGTATTAAACAAGCTGATAATGGAGGAAGTGGGAGGAAATGTAACCACATGCACAGAGTAAGCCCAAGAAAAAAAAGGTTGTTCACAACTGCGTCGAAGGGTTGTGTTCTCCTGCTTGTTTTGTTTTCATGCAAATTCCTTAAGAGTTCTGGTGAACTGTGAAGACTTCCTTTTTTAAAAAACGTTTTTTAACTGAAGACGGCTATTTTTCTAGCTGATGTTAGTGAACCAACTGAGGTAGGAACATTCGTATTTATCTTTTATAAATATTGTTTTATTTTGTTTCTTTTCAAATAAATTTAGACTAATCTTTGAGTGTAAAGAATAATGTCATCCAGTGGTACATGGCTGCAAACTATTTATGCAGAGGAAGCATTTTTAACCAATATTTCAGTTGATATTTGATGGATTAAGAAAGTATCAAAATTAATTTTTACATCAAGAAAAGCGAAAAAATCTTTTAAGTCGCTCTAACTCAATTCTGCAAATAGAAAATATGACATACGCTACTGTTCCGTTAGGGCTCCTTTGTGTAACTACAAGTTGACTTTTCCATGTTTGGTTTATGTACATTTATCAAATTATATGTAGGGAGGTGTGTTCACTGATATACACATGAAGTGTTTTGATTGTACTTTTAGTGTATGACTGGTAAAAAGCAGATATGTAAGCACAACAGCACCACGTCTTACAAAAAGATCCAATGCTTGACAAAATAATTAGAAATTGTGTAAAACTCCAATCGAATCTTTATAAACTGCTACATGGAGGTTAATGATTTTAAAATCTTTATCTGTCCTCCACCTAAAAATGCACCATTTTTCTAGAATGTTTCTAATTTCAAAATCCCAGCGACCTTGGACATAAGAAGGAAACAGACCTGCTGATCTAGAGGAGCAAAAAGGAAGTCCCTAAGCGAAGAAAGACAATGGACACTCTTTTAGTAAAGTTGGTTTTACTTTTGATCCTGATAAGTACGTACATTTCTTAAAAATTACACTGATAAATTGATGATATATTTTGCTTATGGAATAAAGTGTATAACTTTTTTCTATTTGTTTTCTCTCTACAATAGATTTTTATCACTGTGAAAAACATATTACCTTGGTAGAGAGGACTCTAACTGCTAAGGAGGGGTCCTGTATTGAAATGAAATGTAATCCAGGTAAAGAGTTTAACCAATATGACGCTGCCTACTGGTTTTGGATGAAGAATGCCAACTGGTCAGAAGAAATAAAAGACTTTGTTGGCACCATCGTTTCAAGCACAAATGAGTCACAACGGTCTGTCAGTGCAGAGTTTAAAAACAGAGTTAAGCATATCAGCTCACCAAAAAAAGATAAACTGGATTTAGAACAAGTGTACAGAATATTGATCTGTGACTTGAGGAAATCAGACAGTGGACTTTACCAGTGCAGATTTGTAGGAAACAAAAAATGGAAGACGGATCCATGGAATCTAACTGTTCAGGGTAAGTTTAAAGTACAGTTTGTACATAACTGTACAAAAATCCCTGCTAAATGTCCAGCGATTATATTTAGAATATTGGTTGCAAGCATCAAAGAATATTCTTTGGATTTTACAGATCATTTAGTAAAAAAATAAATAATCATACCTGAAGTTTTAAATCTGCTACTATAATGCCTCTAACAGAACCATATTACTTAATAACACCAACTCAGAGGTTTGCTTTGGTCATTAAATCAATAATATAAATATGACTAATATAACCTATTAACATTTTTTTATATATTTATATAATTATTTTTCAGAAAATGCATGCCCTATCACTTTTAGCCAACCACCAGCTGTAAAGGAGAATATCAGAGTAACCCTCACATGTTCAACATTAATTTCATGCGATTCTGATCTACAAATTGACCGACTGAACCAGCAGTTCTCAGAAGAAAGTCTGGGATCTCCAACCAAGAGAAACAATGAAAAAACCAAAAGCATCAGCCGGAGCTTGACTCCCAGCTGGAGGGATGATGGGAGTGAATTTTCATGTCAAACCCAAGAAAATATGGACGAGTATTTGATCCGGAAAATCAACTTGACTGTAGAATGTAAGACATGAAAGTTCATTATTGCTGTCTTTTTTCTGTTAAGTGTTACCTGAATAAAACAAAAACAAGAAAAGCATATGCAATATATGAGCTATAAACAATGCTGTGTGAACTGATTCCTTATCTTGTCCTGATTTGGTGGAAACAGATCCGCCTAAAGAAGTAAGAGCAATGAAAAGTCCTGGAAGTGTAAAGGAGGGAAACCCTGTAAGTCTCACATGCTCTGCTAAAGGGACAAATGTCACTTTCATCTGGTTTAAAAGTAACACAAAGATCAAGGATGGTCAACTTCAATTTTCATCAATCAAAGCTTCAGACAGTGGATCATATTACTGCAAAGCTAAGAACAAACATGGAACTGGAAATTCCAACACAATAAACATTGATGTATTATGTGAGTATTTTCTGATTATTTTATATTAATATGTTCGATTTTTTTATTTTTTTTTTTGTTCATAAAAGTAAACATATCTGAATTATGTATCGTAAACTTTACATTTTCGCTTATTTGGAGTTTCTCCTAAACATTTTACCATTTTATTAAAACTCTTAAGTTATGGTAAAGTTAATAATATCATATATGACGTTTTATTTAGAGAGTTACTGAAAAATAATAATAACAGACAGTCTCTTTTCTCCATAGATCCACCTGTAGTTGTCATTCAAATAAAAGGAGACCAACGACATCATATTAACATTAAAGAAGGAGACAGTATTACTCTTGTGTGCAATGTGAATAGAGCCAACCCAAAACCTGAAAGCTTTAAATGGATTAAAGTTGGGAATGATGTGTGGTACCAGAAGGAATATAATTTACTCCAAATCAAACCAGAGGACAGTGGTGTTTACCAATGTGAAGCTCAAAACACTGCTGGTTTAACAAAATCAAACCCTTTTAATCTTGAGGTTCAATGTGAGTTTTATTTGTTATTTTGTTTACATTATCATGTACTGTTAAACTCAAACTATTTGTCTTTTTTTCTTATTAGACAAGCCAAAAAGCCGGGTTTCTATCAGTGCTACTCATAACAAAGTGAAAGTTAACAGATTCCTTAAAATGACTTGTAACACTACGGCAAACCCAGAGCCCTGGTTCTCCTGGTACCGTTACAAACAGTCTGACTCCTCCAACTGGACACCACTGGGAAGCAAACCGTTTCTAACTTTCAATGGCATTCAGAGAACAGATGAAGGCTGTTACATATGCAATGCAAGTAACACCATTGGTCAGGGGAAAGTCAGTCAGCCTGAATGCATTCAAGTTATTTGTAAGTAGCTTGATTTATTGAAACTTATTACAACCCTGTACAAATGC